ATTTAAGTTTTGTGGAACTAAACCCCCCAAACCCCCCCACCCACCCTTCCTGACTGGGGAATTCTGGAAGTTGAAGTCCACACATCTTAAAGTTCCCAAAGTTGAGAAACACTGGTCTAAGAGATGCTTTGTAATGTCAAGGGATGACCTGGGCCCCATAGGTCTAACACCATAGATAAAATGTTCATGCAGACCCTAACACAATGTTTTAGTGAGGATCAGTCCAGCCATTCATTAAATGCCGAGCAGCAAAAGTGTGGGTATAGATGTGTGAACCAGCCCTTAACCAGTTGTGTCAATGGCCTCCACCAAAAACTACACTATTGTGTTTTGTGTAGATGCTGAGTGATTCTGTCAGTGCCAGCTAAGCTGCAATCTTTCTTTCAGATAAGTTTATTAAAATATATAGTCATGGACCGAACACTCTCTTTCAAATACACAGTTACGTTCACATAACACACTTATGATAAAAACGTAGCAGATGGATCCACACAACATATTAAGCTTGATTAATGTTAGTATTGACTAATCAAGGAACTACCCTAGTCAAGGAACTACTCAGGAGAAAAATCACACCCCCACCAACATTGGCAGGGCAAACTACTCTATATAAATAGGGAGCAGACCCCATTAGCACTGATGATGTTGCCTAACTGGGTAATGAAATGTCTGCAAGCAAACAACCAAGGTCAGAGAGCACCAAGGACTCCACAGTGTTAGTTTTGCTCGTGGCTTAGGTTGTTGTGCAAGCCCAGTCTGTTTGGTAAGTTTATAGTTCACTGTATTAAGTGAACCCAGAAAATGAGTTAATTCAGAAACCAAGCTCAGAGTGTTGTACACTTAGCTGATGGCTGAGTTTGTACCACACACTAGGCTAAAACAGGGTTGAGACCTTTGTGGTTGAGTATGTTGTGGGAACTCAGCCATTGTTTCAGTTCATGTTTGTGGGGGGCATAACAATACAAAGACAGGAGTTTTGTTTAGTCCATTTGTGAATCCAACCAGTGAGATGGCACTTAGATCAAAAAGGAGATAACTTGATTCCTGAGGCTTCGTGCCATGTTACTATCGGGAGGGGTTTGTTCCTGTCCAATTCAAACGATTTGAATGGTTTAATTGAACACGGCCAAGCTGATGTCTTAGTGTGTGTTTTCTTTGGGACAGGAATTGCTTTGGGGGAGAAATTATTTTTTATTTTAAAAATATGCATGTTTGGCACTCTTTGTAGCTTCCATATCATCCTCCTTGGACCAATTTTGAAGCTAATCCCATCCGTCAGGCATCACATAGTGAATAGAAGGACAGCTTAGTTTTTATAACCAACTAATTTGGCTGTAAAATAATACCACTCAGGGCATATAACAGAGCAACTGAGAGTGGAGGCAAGTTAATTAATGAAAACATTTTCACAAGGGCTGCCCAAAATGCCAAGGAATGCTGTTTTTCTGCACTGACATAAATGTTCTTTTTAAAAAAGTTAACGATTCAGCTGTAATATATGTAAGCTTTAATTGGATTATTGATTGAGAGCTTGAAAAGAAGGATCACTGAACACTGATCAGGATCGTTCTTCTGAAACTGAGAAATCACCCAGCAGTGAGGGAAAAGTGGAGAACTATGGATAATTATGCAGTGCATCCATCATGTGCTGGCTTGCTCGCAGATATAGCAAGCTCAAGACACAATGGTTGAATGAGGAAGTAGGTTTGCATGCCGAGGAAATGTTCAGCCTCCAACCTGCACCCCCAATGTACATTCCCCATGCCCTTTCTTTCTCTCTCCACTCCATTCTACTTACACCCTTGCAAAAAAATCCATGCCATACTGTGACCTGTGTAAACAGCTTCCTGCCCCACCCTTTTTATACAGTCATGTGGCTTTCTTTTCTTTCCCCACGTTCATGTCCTCTGAACGTATTCTAGTTTGGACATCAATTCCCCAAATGCCCAGCCAAGCTGGATATTTGGGGAATTGAAATCCAGCACATCTGATGGGTACCAGCTTGGGGAGGCCCTTATATTGTTTCTAAATTTCTTCAACCAGCTCGTGAGATCTTCATACTCCATTTTTGATCATTAATCTGTTCATCTCTTTCTGTGTTCCCCACTTCTTTTCAGTTATAAGTATCCTCTGGAAACCACCAAATTTTCTGTTCTCCAGCTGAGTCGCTTTTCTGTTATTCCCCGTCACATTAGGACACTGCATCCTTTTGGCACTTACGTATGTGGACACTCTAGAAATACAGATGCTTGTAAACGCACACAGATGTACACATACTTCACTCACATGTCCCTCCCACGTAAAGAATGTTCACATATCCCATTATAGTAATGGACACTTTGTCCATTGTGATTTCATATCATGGTATCGGATTCCTTTTTACAGATGATGACCCTGACAGCACTGTGGATGACCGGGACAGTGACTACCGCAGTGAGACCAGCAACAGTATTCCACCCCCTTACTATACAACCTCCCAGCCCAATGCTTCAGTCCACCAGTATCCCATACGCCATCAACAGCGAGCATCCCGGGACTCCTATACAGATTCCATGCAGAGTTACGAGATGGACTATTCCAACCATCGGCCAATCAGGTAGAGTGGATGCAGCCTGGAACTGTTAGGAAAAGTATCTAAGTATCTGGGCAGGGAAGGGATTCTTGTCCTACCCCCAGAAGGTCGTAACACGGGAAGAGAACCTGATATGTCATGCTAGACATGGAGCAAAGCAACAGACTGTCAAGTCCAACCCTCTGTCTCCAACCCAGAGTACCCAACATATGCTCACAAACATACAAAAGTGGTTTCTTTGCTCTTGATCTCTGCATCTGGTTATTCAAGAGTATACAGCAGAGCACGGAAGGTCCATTCCTAGCTGTCATTGGTAATAGCCCTTACCACTCAAGGCCTTTTGACAGCTCCTTTTGAACTAGGGTCCTATTTAGAAGGAGTGAAGGCCAAAGAATTGGCAGGATCAACTCCATTCATTAGTCCAATGTTTCTCAACCTTGGGAACTTTAAGATGGCTGGCTGGGGAATTCTGGGAATTGAAGTCCGCACGTCTTAAAGTTCCCAAGGTTGAGAAACACTGCATTAGTGGCATCGTTCAAGAGCTGAAACATTGCAAAGGATCCCGAGCCAAATTTTGGGCGATGGTTAACAAACAGACCTCTTCTCTGCGGCACAACTGACTTCAATGTCCTTAGCTATTCCCTCTCCTCAGGTTGGGTTTTAGCTCATGTACATTGGAGCTGATGGGGAGAATCCTGCCAAGGACCCCTGAATGCACAAAGTTTGGAGGAAGAGTTTAAAACTTAGCTTGGAGGCATGATAAAACAGGGGTGTGGTGGGTGGCCTGGGGGCTAGAAACCCTGATAGCACTCCAAGAATTGGGCTAGATTGCAGGCGGGGGGGACAACAGTGGATCTCCTAATTGCTGCTTGCATAGTAGTAATCAAATCATATGCTTAAAAAAAAAAAAAACCCTCCTCCATTCCATCCCCAAACCTTCTGTTGGCCATTAATCATTCATCATAGCCTAGCATTTTTAACAATGCTGACAAATTAGTGTGATTTTTCGTGTCCTCTGCAAATCACAGGGTCTTCTTGTTAGCCAGCTTGGATAATGGATTTATTTTACTTCTTTGAGAAAATCATGGAGGAAAAAAACCTTGCAACCAGCCCAGTTCAACATTGTTTTTGGTATTTCAGAATAGCCTTCTCTTTTGCCCAATATCAGGTCTACCCTTTGAATAGTTGCAGGCCAGCATTCTTCAAGCAAACTCCAATTATTCCACCATTGTTACCAAACTGGCTCTGAATGATGAGAGCTACGAGGCAGCCTAAGTAGATGGCATTGAGTTGCAGAGGTTGGCCTGGACATATTCTATCTGGATATAAAATAGGTCTCAGGTAGAAACCCACTTCCCTGTCTTAGTTCTTGGCTAGCAAATTTGTGTTCTGCCCTCTCCTTCTGCTCCCTTTGGAATTCCCATGACGGGGGGGGGGGGG